TTTGGCTCCGCAGGTAGTAATGGGCGGTGAGGCCACTTTTCATCCACAGTTAGCCAGAAGCTTCTACATCTTTTTCTCATTCAAAACCAGCAAGTCACAGCATTATCCAGTGTTTTATTTGGAGGATGTAATGTGCTGTGTTGGAAACATTTCTTGGCAAACACCCAAGGGCTCCTGTGAGCACCATGTGCACCACAGTGCAGTGGCTTAATCTTTGGTCTATAGCTTAGAAACACTCCATAGGCACGGTCCTGGATGTTTCAGATATGTTCCCTGGGCAATTCTCCTAGTGTGGAAAATCAGTCCCAAGGTCTAAAATATACAGAGCTGAAATAGAATATTTTGGAAATATGGGGCGTCAGCTCTAGCACTCTCTTTTTGCTTTCTTAATGGCAAAAGGAGGTCCATCAGCTTAGGATAACATGTCCTTAATACACTTGCTCAGTTATGAACAGAAAGCAAGCATGATGACCTAGTTTGCAAGGCAAGTTTTGTATGTGCTGTTTGCCACTCTGATCCTATAAACTGCTTATCCCTGTAATATGGTCATCTTCCAATGCATACCTTGACTATCAGTCTAACTTATGTCACAGTTAGGACTACTGACCTTCTGAAGTAAAATTATCACAATTTAATTCTCTGGGCAAATTTCACAGGACAGACCTTGAAATCAACAGAAGTACCTCAAAGTCAATATAGGTACCTCTAACTTAGGTTACTTGTATCAGTGAAGAGATTAAAATCTTTTTCCATTTCCTTTACAGCCATCAAAAGTCTTATCAGATCTTAATATTTGTTGTCTACCGTGTGATGTTAAATTTGCATAATCATGAAATGGTTTTCACATTCAGAGTTCTGAGAAAGTCTGACCAATAAGTTCAAGCTTACTTTTTCTTCATTATTATTTTAAAGTATTTATTTATTTTAAAAGAGGGTGTAAACATTCAGTGCAGATGGCCTCTTCCCCCCCAGCGAGAGGGAATCTGTTTCTTTTTCTGCATGTCGGAGTTTCACCAGCCTGGGGTATGGAGGAGTCCTTGAGGTAGTTGCCAAACGAAAGTCCAAGCCTTCAGGCACACTTGGATCTTTTCACTTTTAAGTAAGGCCATCATTAAAACATGAGCAGACATAATTGCATCATAGCGCTGGGCAGAACTGCAGGCAGGTCTGGATGTCCTTAAGCATAAGGATTTAAAATATGTTGGCCTGATATTCATTGCCTTCTTTCTGCAGCTATCCATGCACAGTACCAAAATCAGAAACTTTAGCCTTGTCTTTTACAACAATAAAGTTAGTTTGTAGGAGTTGCAATGAGATGCACTACAAAGCTGAGAATACCCAGAAGACTCCATTATGAAACCACAATGTTTAATTTTAGGCTTTTAAACCCGAATGAAAGTATTATAATGAAAGCCACTAGTTTCATAGGTGTGGAGCATACCAAAAATGAACCAATTTCAGTGGGACCTCAGTTAGCTTGAAAAATCAGGCAACTAAATTTGACTTTCAGGAAACACATTTGAATGCTTTGCCATTAATCTTCTGTCTGTCATGTCTGATTTAAATGTAAAATCAGATTTTCTCCCCAACTTGAAACTTGCTTTCATGAGCAGAAGGAAATTATCCAACTTTCTTAGATTTTTCAAAGACTTTAACTTGCAGAGAAATAAAGTCCACCAAAATTAGAGCAAGGGGAATTACTGATAAAAACGTAAGATAAAGTACAAGATCTTACCTCTCAGCCTTTTTATGCTCATTACATAAAGTGAGGCTCAAAAAACACACCCGTACAGGAGCATGGCAAGGAGGGCTGGTCAGAATTTTTCGATAAAGTGATTTCTCTTAATAAGCTTTATGGGAAAATTAATAGGTTCTGCATATCCCCATCTGTGGAGAAGTATATATTCATCAGGAACTGAAAGTAGAGTTGCCATGAAACTCTGCAGTTCTATTTCACCAAAAAAGGGTTGGCTTTTTTACAAGAAATACAATGCTATCTTGAAAAAAACTACTGTATTTGATGATTAGTGGTACATAAGAGGCTAAACTGTAAAGGAGATAGACTCCTAACTCACCCCACAAAATCCTTTTCCTATGAACAACAGTTTTCAGACCAGAAGTTTAAGATTCTGCTCGGGACAAAATACCCATATCTAGGTGTTTCAATATTAGCTGGACGTCTAAGCCTCCTGTGTAGTCAATGAAGACCTAGGACAAGATATGGTTGAGTAAACAGTAGCATGCAGCATCTTTTTAGAATGCTATTAGGCATGCCATCATCCACTGTTGCTTTAAAAGGGTACTGTTCTCCTGTAAGCCTTCTGCATTACCTGTTCACCCGACACAGATGTCTTGTTACCATAGGGCATCTCAAATAGCACCGAACACACATTTTTACTCAGCTTGATGGAGCCCTCAGTGTAGCCAGAAGAATGGTGCAGGTCACCATAAAGGAGACACATCCATTTCATGTGCTAAATCATTCTCCAGACTTCTCTGACTGTATGGAATAAAGCCTCAGGGCTCAATTCAGTTGCCTAAACATTGGCATCTAGTGCCATGTGAGGTACAAGAGAGTAACGTGCCTGGCGTCAAAACACCTAGAAGCAAGGTGGACCTAAGTCCTGGGTGATATCTAGCAAATCTGTGCAGATGTTTCAGATGTCATAGGACATCTCAAATCACTGTAGACTCTTATACGTAGGAAACTACATTAAGTACCCTTTGATGGTAGTGGAGTTTAGGCACTGTTGATGTATACATCTACAAGTCGACACCTACGCTTATGTCCCTTAATATCAGATTTTGTCCCATTCTGGTATTTTCTACAGTCTTGTTCAACATTTGAGAACATTAAAGTTTTCTAACCTTGTTCTTAGCCCTACAGATCATTTCTGAGACAATCTTTGTAAGTTTTCACTGTTGTATTCCCACTTTACTCTTCAGGGTTTATTGAGCTATCAGATGAACACAGTACTATTCCTTTTGCTCAGGAGTAAAAAGGTTCAAGGAGAGCAGGCTGGAACATTTTTTTTCTATCCAATCCTTTGTTAAACTTACTATATGCATCTACCTGACATGAATGATTACAGATATTGCCAACTTTTAAAATAGACAAACTAGTTTCTTTTGCATGCAAGATCATAAATATTTTTAGTATGTCTTGGTATAGTCAGCTCCCCAAATCAAGACCCAGAAGATCACACAAGCAGTGTAAAATCATGAGATATTATAACTAGTAATGATATATTTGAATTTCCTTTTTCTTGCTTTCTGTTATTGTAAGCTCCGTCACATTTTCATTTCTCTGGCCTTATGAAGACTAGAAATGATGATAAAATGCACACAAAATCTTGAAATCACCTGACTCCTAAAAGGACTTGCAAGGGTTAAAAATACTCTTATCTATATGCTACTGCTGACCTTGTTTTTACTAATATTAAAAACATGACTTAGGATGACCATGATGATGATTATTTTTATTTTCCTGGTATGCCAGGCATTTCTAAAAAAAAAAAAATTAAAGCGAGGTATGTTTACCTCTTTTTAATGCTAAATTAAAAAGATCCAGATATTACTACAAGTCCAAACTTCAAGAGTCCAAACTCCAAGAGTCTAGTGGTATTATTAATTGATGTCTGCAAAATAGTCCTTGTAAATATTTAATTACCATTTTCCTCTCATTACTAACTGGGGATAAACATAAATTCCTGCTTTGAAAAGTGCCTGGAGACTGATGGATAAACATTCTAAAAGTGAGTTATTTGTTAATAGCCTTTGGGAGACCTTTTACAAAAGACTGGGCCACTCCCAATCTGAAAAGGAGAGATATTTCTAAACGGAGCTCTCATGTTGGTTAGGACTCCCATATGTTTGGTGTCTTTCCTAGGATACAGTCTTTCCTAGCAAACACGGTTCCAATGTCCAGCAGACAGAAAGATCCCCTAAGAGATATCTTGGAGCCTTTCTCATTGTTTAAACACTTCTGGATCTGCAGGTGGAAGCGAGGCTGGGTGCCCAAAACATCTCAAGTGACTGTAGATACATGTGTAGATACATATGAAATGGTCCTCTAAACTGAGATGAGATTAACCCATTGTAGTTCTGGCTGGCAACTGCATTAATGCATCATTTCAGTAGCTGTTGAGGAATACCACTGAAATTCAGCAACTTTTTAGTGCAGAAAAACAACAGGAAAAATTCAGTGTTATCTTGAAAAAAACAGCTCATTTGGATGAAAGGTGCAACAGGGTAAATCTATACTAGTAAACTCAACACCACCAGGGCAATGTTATTGAAACTTGACTGTTTTTACTATTACTTGGTTAGGATGTTCTGTGAATTTAGCCCGGCTGAACTAGCCCTATGTGAAACATTTCCAGAGCATTGTTTGGGCATTAGCATTGGCCAGGGACTATTCCCAACATCCACCCGGTTGGATGGTCAGAGGGCTTAGCAGCATGGATATGGCCAAACCATGCCAACCGTGCGGAGGGTCAGAGATTGGACCCTTGGCATTGCTCGATTTCCTAGTATGGATGTGGTCATACATCCACGTAGAATAGCCAGGTCTTGTTCAAAAGTCTGATCTGGAAGAGTGAATAAACCACACAGAAGTGGTTTTATTGACCTGGGAAGGGGCAAGCCAAGCCTTCTGGGACTGGAAAAGTAGCAATGCTGGAGAGCCTAGGGCATGGATCCTCTCTTGGCCTCTCTGAAGTCAACAACACTGTGTCAATCTGCATCAGCCGAGGATCTGTCCCACGATGGTTCAGAATGGAGACTCCTACCAAAACCAACCTTTGAAGCTGTCTGTAGTCTGCTCTTCAGCTCTACTCTTTTCTTTTCTGTTTCTCCCATAGGTAATAAATAGTTTAGGGAGCAAGTCTTGAATTTCACCATAGCAAAATGAGTGTACTGTAAACTCTTCGATGTATGTGAGTGCATTTATATTTATGTGCATGTGTGTATTTCTTTTTCTGTCTCCTTCCCATTTGTAGTTTGATCACTCATGGTTTTGGAACTCCTGCAATATGTGCTGCCCTAAGCACTTTCCAAACTGTTCTCAGTGAAATGCTGAACTACTTGGAAAAGCACACATCGCACAAAAACGGAGGAGCGGCGGAATCCGGCCAAGGACACGCCAACTCGGAGAAAGCCCCCCTGCGGAAAACTTCAGAGGCTGCTGTGAAAGAGGGCAAAACAGAAAAGACAGACTAGCTACATCAAACAGAATCTATTTCAAGAGAGTCTTGCTGCTGATATTTTTTTTAAATATATATATCATTGAGGGCGATTTATCTCCAGTGGACCAAATCCAAAAAAAGGGGGAAAAAAGAAAAAAAAAGAAAAAAATCCAAAAAAAGAAAATAAAAAAGAGAAAGATTAAAACAGAGAGAAAGAGAGAGCGAGAGAGGAAAGTATTCAACCTTAAGAACAGCAGTGTACAGTAATTGTGTGATGAAATTGTCACTTTTTTAAAATTTAAGTTGCTCTAAACTACTTTTTCGTGCACGTAGTATTTGATTGTTCTGAATGATACACTAACACTGTTTTTTATAAGCACTTCTGGACTTGGCTGAGGTGGCACATGAAATTTGAAGCACTTTCTTCTCCGGCAGCAGAGTTAGGGCCAGTGCATCGGTTGTGGGACACGCAGTTCCCACATCCTGACTTTGCTTGCATGCTGGATAGATTGAAAGAAGGGCTTCCTCTGATCCATCGGAAATGCGTGATCTACTCACCATTGGGAAAACAATATGGAAACCTGGCAAAAGAGGAATTCTTGGGTCGTGGGACAAATGAACCGTTTGGTGTTTGGGGGCTGCTCATCCCCATGTGGGAACGTATAATAAAGCTGCACTGGAATGAGGCCAGAACCTGTTGGGAATCTGTCCCGACCATTCAAGCAGCAGCCATGGTGTCTCTTGTGAAAAGAGCATGGCAGACTAAAATGAAAAAAAAACCTTGATAGTTTCAATAAGAGCCCTGATCCCTCTGTGAACTTCAGATTAAATGACAGCACGGGCTTCTGTCCTCTACCTTCTCAGCCCCTGGTCCCACAACACTGCAGTCTGCCATACCTGGGTCTCTGTTCAACAGGATCAATGCAGGCAATTGGAGTCACCTTTTGTGTTGCCTTGATTTTATGATGCTTTTTTTTCTTCAACAGCTTGTTTCTGCAGCTTTATTGTCTTTAGCAATCCAGCTGAGGTGCAGAGGTCTAACAGAATCCACTCAGTTACCGAAAATAAAATAAAATAAAATAGAACCAAACTGACAAGTAAGACAGATTGGCTTGGTCCACAACAGCTAAGTGGTAATAACCTTGCTAATGTACTTTTGAAATATTACTTTACCACCTACCACACATCCTCTCACAGAAAACATTGGAGGCATAGTTTGAGCTCAAGCCTCTTTGAGTCAAGAGGTTTTTTCCAGCCACATTCTAACTTCTTCTTCAACAAGACTTTTATTCCATTCCTGTTCTTGTTTCTCTGACATCACTTTATTGAGAAAGTTAGGAAGGATTGGTATTACAGGGTGGGGTTATGCTGGCCATCTAAACTCCTTTTAAGATCATCAAAACCAGAATTTTTCTTCCAAGGGACAATTAATCTCTTTCTATGGTAGGAAATAATATAGTTGTCCATGTGTAAATGTTTAGAGCCATTTGAGACCTTTTAGGATATCTAGGACAGCCACAGAGTTTTGACAGATATGACATGAAACCTATAGCAGAACTGGACTCACCTGGAGGAGGAGCTGGAGGATCCCAGAAGACAGCACTAGATAACTATGGGTGGTCACTTGACTTGCACACCGAGTTCCTAGGACAGGTAGAAGGGATCATCTGGAAGTGCCTGTCATTCTCCACAGATAATACTTGGAATGTAACAGTGGCATTTTGCATTGTACATGGCTACAACTGGATTAACCACCCTCCTCTCCCTATAATCAGTGGCGAGGAAAAGGCACTTGTAGTATGCAGTTTATCTCACCTCAAAGTAACGATGAATCATGCCCTGAAAGTGTGTACTTTTCTCAACTAGGTGTAAAGGAAGCCAAGAATAGAAGCGCTCATACACATGTGTCTACATCACAGCTTTCTAGAACTAGTTAGCATGCATTATATCTTGGATGACCAGCTTTAGACTAAACCTGGGGACTATGACAAATATCTGCTGGCATTTACAGCCATGATGTAGGGAGTCAAACTGAATTAACAAGATCAGCCTTGCCTTCTAAATGTATGGAAGGAAATAGAGCTCTTATGGTGTGATGCTCTTCCTCTTGAGGTCAGTAAGGACACTGTCATCATCGTGAGAAAACATGCTAGGAAATAATGAGTCCCTATTTCCTTGCATAAGGAAATCTAAAAAAGAAAAAATAAAATCCTATGATTTTGCCCAGATTTGTCCTTGCTCACAGTAGGTATATAACTTAGATACCTACTTTAGTGCTATTTAGGCACCCTTTATGCATTGAGGGAAATAGATGGATCTCCATGGACTCCACCTCCTTAACACACTGAGATCAGCTAAGTGCCTAACAGAACTTAAACTTTACTGAATGAATTTTTCACTCCAGCGCCTCTGGAGAAGTGTTAAAAACAAATGAATGATCCTCTGAGATGTCTTCAACAGAAACATTGTGGAACTGTTCTAGAACATGAAATACTTGAGTGTGAAAGTAGGTAACTATGATTAAAAGTGAAAAGGAAGCTCATTCTGCTTTTTCTATTGCCCAAACTGAGGAAGATAAAAGGAGGGAGGGAGGGGGGAATTAAAAGTTTGACTATGTCAGACATGCAGATTTGCCACATGAAAAGGTACTGTAAAGCAATTTAATTGTGGTCCTCTCCTTCAAGATGTGGATAAATTTAAATCAGGTTTTGGTGGAGGGAATAAAGAGAAGAAAAAAGTTTTTTAAATCCTTCTCAATTTTCTTCAATGAAATATCAGCCTTCTGTAGAAGGGGGAATGACTGGCTGGGTAGATTTTTCTGTGAAACTGTTGAGAAAGCAGCATTTTGTTACAATCAAATTCAAATGTTTGATACTGGAAATAATATGTATACAGCATTTTTTGAAATATTTACCTATTCAGGATATGGTCCAAGGTCCCAACAATAATTTATTTAAAGACTTGCATCTTTTGTTGTTACATAATCACCACGAGCCTCTGCTCTGCAGGCAACAAATTATTTTTGACCTGATTTTTGACCTTTGATCTATTAATATTAATAAACCTGAGCACTCTTGAAGCCCCAGAACTTCCAGCTTTTGACTGAATAACCACTACATATTTTTGGTAAGGTTCAATACAGATCTAATTCAACCTGATGAAACTGCTATATAATCTTACCATTAAGAGGCTACCTGCATTTACATCTCAAACTTTCTGGTTTTTCCTGTAGTATATTAGCACATTTTAAAAGCAAAATTCTTTTTAAAAAGTAGCTGCAAGTTTGCTGATGTTCACAGGCTCTCTGTTTTTTATTTTTCATTGTACTCAATAATTTTATTGAGAGAAAAAAATAATTATTACTGATTTTTCTGCTGAACTAGCTATCAGAGGAGTTTGGTGTCAAAATGCCTTTGGTTTTTGAAATTGGAACTTTCAGTGTGGTTTTAAGCAATGAATTCACTGATGTTCCTGTTAAAATCTCAGCCTAAGATCTCATCCACTGGTACCTGCACAATGTTTCCATGATGTCTTTTTTTTATTATTTTCTTAGTCCTTGTCTCTATGGAAATGTTGCCATCTCAAAACACATTCATTAATTAGATCAGCTGGAAGGAAGGGCATGGTTCAAAGTTAGTGAGTGTTCACTGGTAACAAATTCAAGTATATTTGTACCTTTTTGACTTTGAATTTAATCTGATCTGAAAAAAAGTTCTTCCTTTGAGAGATCATGGAATTGTTTATTGCATTCAGGTCAAAAACATCAAAGGAGTACAGAAAATTGTCCAAACTTCCATGGCCAGGGCAATGAATCATTATGATTTTTGAAACCCTGAAAACAGATTCACAGCTCAAGTGCTGTCTGAGTATTTGGATCCTGTTGTACTTCAGCCCATTGCTGAGCTTTGTCTGCATTACAACTTTCCCACCACCAATCTCAAAACATTTTAAGTCCCTGATCTTACTTCTTATACTAAGCCCTGAAACATTTGATTCGCAAAGACCAGCTGTTGATACTTTGATTTATTAGCAAATTACTCATGAAGTAAACAGACTAACCACATGCCTTTCTTTCTAGAGCAAGGTGTTACTCACTGTGATACAAACAGCTCATGTGTTGACTAAGCTTAGAAGGTAAGTCTCTGGCAGAACTAGGAGTGACAATCTCTCCTCCAACCTCTGCCCTAAGATTTGGATCTCTGTTCACGCAGTCCTCCATTAGTATCAGTCCATGGCAGAGATGTGTAGTAAAGGGAGAGTTTTATGCAGATGATGAGAACTGGAACAGCATTTGTATGGCCTGTAAAGGGGAGTGAACCACAGACAAGCAGTGATGACCCTGCCACCTACAACTGAAGACTGTCAAGAATTTTGTCCTTCATGCTGCCATCTTAAACCCTAACTCCTTCTAGGTGTCATTCTGTTGCCTTGGAGAACTGGCACAAGGGGTGAATTTGGACCTTTAATTTACTTCTTTTTTAAAGATAAACTCCAACATTCATTGGGAAAAGACTTCAGCTCTCCAAATCAACAAGGAATCTGCTCTTTGAAGCTTCTCTTTAACTTTTCCTAGAAACAACAAAATCTGCTATGAAGCAGGCACAATGTATAGTCCTTCCAAATCCTGGACCTCTGTGTAAATATTCCCCCAGCTCATCTCTTCCTTTGAACGTGACTCAGTGGCACAGCTGCGGCTCACAATTTTGCAGCAAGGCTGAAGAAGGGCTGCTTTATTGTCCTAAGAGCCAATTTCTCTAACTGCTTTTTTTTGTTTGTTTGTTTCCTAATACCAACAAGCAGTTTTGGTCTGAGATATCTTAGGTATCCAAAAGGGCTGCTGATGAATTCCAAGGTCATTTGCCTTTCGTTTATCCTTTGGAGAGATAGTTCTGCTGCTCTAATTCTTTACTTTTAAGGACAAGAAAAAACAGCATTAATAGAAGACACAAGCCTGCAACACAAGGAAGAATCAATAAACATAATTATACAGGAACTGTACTTATACAAATATCCTCTGCCTCTGCCTTCATTACA